TGTCAACTTCGTTCGCGGTGCTATCGCATCTTCATAACGAGCTTCACTTTCGGTGGCGTCCAGGCGGCTGTTCCTTGTTGTTCCTGGCGATTTCCCTCTCTTCCTGAAAGTTTTCCTGCCTTGGGATGCGTTCCAGCAGCGCTCCTCCTCGGGGGCTCTCCGGCGGTGCCCGAATGGTCCCGAACGGCCGCCAGAGGCCCGAGTGATGACCCGAAAGCCACCAGGCGTCCAAGAGGGGGGTGAGGGTAGGGGTGCGTGGATACCGTGGCCGGGGTAGTGAAATCTGCGAGATCTCATGGCCCCCTTTTTTGCGATACGATTCTTGCACCCCCTTCGAGCGCGCGCATGCTTCGAGTCATGATGCGCATCCCTCACTCTTCCTGGCTCCCGTCTGCAGCTCACCCGATGGTACGAGGGTTCGTTAGCGGACGCAGAACGGTATAAAAGAGTTTTATTCCTCCGTCGAGGACGCCTGCCCCAGGGCGGCTGGAAAGTGTATTCCTCGACGTGCCACTGCAGGGGTATAAACTTTCCAGTCGCCCTCGGGCAGGCGTCCCCGACGGCGGAGCAGTTTCTCTTCTTCTGGTGGTCGCCTGCCAAGTGAAGAAGAGGAATCACAGCCGTGATTCGATTGTGCACCCTCGTCCTCCTCCTCGGCCCTCCTCTTTTCCTGCTGGGGGTCTGCTGGGGGTCCCTGCGGCTCGGGGCCTTCCATTTTTGGCAGCGTCGCGGGGCCTCCCTTCGATCAGAGGGGCCCCGGAAATCTCAAGATTCCATTGTGCTCGCAGAGCTGTGGACGTCTTCTCCGCATAGCCCCGCATAGTCCCTCTCTTATCCTTCCGCGTCCGCTCCCGCTCCCGCTCCCTCTCCTCTTCATCCCTGCATCCGTGGAGGCAAGACTCCACACTGGCCCCATCACTGGCGTTTCGCCGAACAGTCCTGGGCGTTTACGGAACAGGCCTGCCATGTTCGAGTTTTTCTTGAGGTGCGTTTGCCAACGGGTTTGGCTCCTGGCGGTGCTTGGTAGGAGGGTACAGTGGAGGCCCATGCCAAGAAACACCCTGTTTGCCTCCAGGGTGCCCTGGGTTTCTCGGGTTTCGATGGTTTTGCTATGGAAGGCGTGACGTTCCCACGCCAAGCATCAATGGGCGATCTGTGGTCTCAGGGTTGGGTTCTTGTGGAAGAGTTTCTTGTGGTCGGGACTCCACTGTAGGTGCGTTTACGGCAGGGCTTGGCTTCTGACGGTGCTGGGAATGAGGGTAGTTCGTCAGCCCTCTACTGTCACTTGTTGGTCCAATGCTAGCGCGATCTAGGACTAGTGTCAAAGACGCCTACGGCAAGTCACCGCCGTTCCCCGCCTGTGGCGTGACACGTCGAGAGAAGTGCGGCCACGTTAGTGGACGGCGAGCCGTCTTGAGGCTCTCGTATGGCCTCGGCAGGGCCGTCTTGGGACTGTCCTGGGGTCTTCTTGTGGCGTTGTGCAGCCCCCTCGTGGCGTGGTGGGGATCTCGTTTGTGGGGGGAGGGCCTCTTGGGCCGTCTTGGGGCTCTCTGGGGGGCCTCTGATGCCGTCTTGAGAGTGGTGTCGGGGACCTCTTGAGCCACCGCGGTCGCTCTTGACAATGGAAATGGGAGAATCAGCAAATAATTGAACTAACACGCGAATCATAGTTTTTGTGTTGGCTCTTGATACCCTCCTTGGGCCACTCCTGGGGTTCCTGGGAGGCCTCTTGGACCGTCGTGGAGCACCTTGAGCCTACGTGGAGGCCATGAGTAAACGTCAGGCATCGTCTTGGAGAGCGTCTTTGGCCATCTTGGGCCGATTTGATGGCGACGGACACCGTCTTGGACACCCTTTTGAGCCCATCTTGGGCGACGACGCCGATGTAGTGAACCTTTGATGCGGCGATATGGTGCAATCCGAGCCGAAGGCCACTGGAACTTCGGATCCAGAGGCATTCGGCCCGTCCCGACACCGTGTTTGGGTAGGGCCGCGGAGAAACAGCTTTTTGGATGCTCTTGGTGGCCACTTGGGGGCAGCTTGGAGGCCTCTCTGTAGCCTCCCGGGGGTCCACTCGGGGTCTCTTGGGGCCCTCTTCGGGGCCTCTCTGGAGCCTCTGGGCTTCTCGGACGCCTTGGGAGCACTCTGGCTGTCTTGTAGGCTCTCTCGGGGTGGAGGGGTCCAAACGGCACTTCGCCTTCCCCTCCTGGGCCCTTCTGGGGGTCTCCTGGGAGCATCCCGGTACCCTTTTGGACGAGTCTTTTGGGACTTTGGTCCGTCCTGGACGCCCTGAAAACCAGACAGCAGCGCGTGCATCATGCGAAACAATCATTTTGTATGTTTTCATGCTTGTGGCCTCTTGGGCCGGACACCGCATCCTCCAAGACGGCCCAAGGAGGCCCAGGCTTTCAAGACAGCGTCAGAACGGCCCTTCGGGGGCTACCGAGGGTTCCAAAGCTTTTCCTGAGATTCTCCCTTGGATGACACCAGGGGGACGCAGGAGTCGCCTCTCCGTCGTCGTCGTCGTCGTCGTCGTCGTCGTCGTCGTCGTCGTCGTCGTCGTCGTTCGGACGGGCTAGATGTATACAACGTCGCTTGAACGGCCAAGAAGCCAAGGAGCGCAGCGAAGGAATTCGGTGTAGACGCTACAGCGCCCCACTCCTGGCCGATCTGTGCTGAGTTCCCTGGCCGACCAAACGACGTGGTCTGTACAGGCCCAATTCGGCAGACTCCCGTTACATTCCCCCGAATACAATTTAGTCCAGCTTCACCCGCTTCAGTCCGGGCTTGACCTGGGCTGCTCTGGCTGAAGGGCCCTCGAATCGGGCTCAACAGTTTGCACTCGTTCTGACCGAGGTCTCCCGGGAGTTGCCTCCCGACGTGCCGAGTCTCGGGCCGGGCGAAAGGGGGGGATTGGGAAAGGGGGGGTTACGAAATTTGCTGCATGCAGCTGGTTTCGGCCTCACCGAGGGGCCCATACCTCGATACATAGCCGCCTCCAGCGCCAAGAGGCGCCAGGAAAATCAGCTACCTGAGCTGATTTTCACCCCCCCCCTTTGCTATCCCCCCCTTTCGCCCGACCCGAGAGTCGGTCCGATCCGACGCAGGCTCCGAGCCGCAGCCTGGTCCCCTGGCTCGACGCTGGCCGCTCCCGCGCCGGCGGCCTGGGCGCCTGCCGGCGTCGAGCGAGCCACTGGGTGCTGCCAGAGGCGCGCTCTGCCACGAAACGTGTGAGGGGTGCGCCGAGATGGGGCTACGAAACGTGTGAGGGGTGCGCCGGACTGAGGTGGAACTGTATGCTGACCCTGCCACTGGGGCCTTCGGCGGAGCACCCTATGGGGCCACGGAACGTGCGAGGGGTGCGCCGAAATTGAAATGGAACTGCATGCGGACCCTGCCGAGCGCTCCCCCGGAGGCTCCCAGGAGCCGTGTCTTTTGGGCCTCTCGGGCGGTCCTTGGGGGCTCCTGGGCCGTCTCGGGCCGTCGGAAGGGCCGAGCAACAAGCGAATGCCACGATCCTTCACAAACCTGTGGTGAAGAATCAAGGATGGCGGTCTCTTCGGGCCGTCCTGGAGGCCCTCTGAGAGGCCTCTTGGGCCGCCTTGGGCCATCTCAAGGATGGTGGTCTCTTCGGGCCTTCCTGGAGGCCCTCTGGGAGGCCTCTTGGGCCGCCTTGGGCCATCTTAAGGGCCCAGGCGGCCGCCAGAGCGCCCCTCGCTCGGAGGGGGGCAGAGTTTGCCGATGCCGCCGCCGCTCCCCCGCGCTGGCCTCGCCGGGGCCTCGCCCTCGCCGCCGCGCCCGGCTTCTCTCTTGGGGGCGGCGCCCTCCTCCTCTTCGCGGCCCCGAGGTCCTCCGAGGGCCCCCTCCGCACCCGTCGGCCCCGGGCGGAGGTGTATGGGCCTAAGTCAACGGCACCGTAACGGGCACTTACTGACGGGTGCTTTGAATTTTTGCCGGAAGTTGCCACTTTAGGGCCTTTTTCTTGCATCGCAGCTTTGCCCACATCGGGAAGGGCTGGGTTCGCTGGGTCACTGGCCAAAGTACCCGTTAGTGGAGTCCCCGTTTGAGGGGCGCTGACGAAGGGCTCTGTGCCTTCGATCTGTGCGTGTTGAATGAGGTGCGGTGCGCCTTCGTGCCAGCGTGGGCTCCGAAGGCTCATGAGGGGCCATAAAGTCCCACAGGCTTGCCCCGAGCAGCGCATGGATCGCACCAGCATCGATCGTCGTGGCTGGAGCTCTCACGCAGCAGGGGTGAGCCAGATAGCGTAGACAGCGGCTGCCCAGGTCTTGCCTTGCCTTGCCACGACGAAGACACGGAGAACGCATGGCGCCGTCGAAGGCAAGGCTTGCCCGCCGGACCGACGCGCCTGGCGCCGCCCCCCCATCGGTCAGGGGCAACGATAGGGGGGGAATAGGAATAGGGGGGGGGATGCATCGACCCCCAATCGCCCACTGATCGCCGATAGGGGCCCGATAGCCCCAACCTGCCCAGGAAAGTGCGGATTCACTATCGGAGGCCAATCGCCCATCTATCGGCGATGTATCGTCGATTCCAGGTCGATTTTCTCCCCCCCATCCCCATCCCCCCCTATCGTTGCCCCTCAATCGGGCGGGATATAAGACAAGGGTAAGATCGGTTCAAAGCGTTGCGGAGCACTCTCGGAGCGTTCTGGAACGCTGTGAGAAGGCCGCGGCGCCTGGCACATGCTCCAAAAGGGCTGGGTCTCAAAGATCCCCGATCTGTCCATGCCAGAGCTTGTCCATGCCCTGGCTTCGTGATGGGCAAAGTTTCCACCACCACTGCCATGATTGTGTAGGACGGGGGAGGAGGAGGGAGAATGAGGAGGTCCTCCTCCTCCTCCTCCTCCTGCTCCTCCTCCTCCTCCTCCTCCTCTCTCCTCCTCTCCTCTCCTCCTCCTCCTCCTCCTCCTCCTCCTCCTCCTCCTCCTCCTCCTCCTCCTCCCTCATCTGCCTATGGTCGTGGTGGCGGAAAACGGGCCCATGACTTTGTACTGCCCCCAGGAGCGCGAGCGGCACCGCATCAGCGCGCGCCACAGGAAGAACGTGCAGGTGCTCGAGAACTCTTCCGAGGTGCCCGCGCGTCGTCGTCGTCGTCGTCGCCGCCGTCGTCGCCGCCTCCCACGGAAGAGGAAGATAGCCATCGACCCTCGCTCGAGAAACTTCTGAGGGTCGAGACTCTACAGTGAGCAAGCGAAGTCTTGTCCGCCACCGCTTTAGTTGCGTAGAGCGTTTATCATTCCATTGCGTACGGCATTGGCGACGCGTTGCGACCGTGAGGCAGCCCAGGAGCGCGCGGGAGCGCCCAGGAAAAATTAACAAAATCGACCCTCGATCTGTCGGTCCTCGATCCTCCGTGGCCGTCCTCGAGCCTCGAGCCTCGAGCCTCGAGCCCCTGCGCACGCCATGCCACTGCTCGTCCTGGAGAGCCCCCGTCGCCACGGCCGGATCGGGAGAGGCTCTGGAGCAGCGGCCACCCGAGCGCCCGAGGAGGTGCCCACTGGGGTCAGGACAGAGACCACTCCAGATTTCGTAATAAAAGGGAGGGGGTCTGGACCCTCCAAGACAAGCCATTTCAGACCTCCCCCGTGGGAGAACCTCCAAAACATCGTCCCCAGACCCCCCAGGCCCTCCAAGATAGCCTGGAAGAGACCCCCCCCGAAATGAGACCCCCCTCCCTTTATTACGAAATCTGGAGTAGGCTGGGGCCTTGGAGGCCGCGGCCGCTTGGCCACGGCTCCGGCTCTGCTGACGTGTCCGCAGCGGGGGCGGCCATCATGTTCGAGCGTAGCACCCTCGAGAATGAGAGACCACCTTACGCGAATGGCACGATGAAGACGTAGCCTAACTGAGGTCCCCGTCTTTGCATTAGGGATAATAGATCTTGGCGGTTTGGTTTGATTCATCTGTTGAAAAGGCCCTCTTATCCCTGATGCTTCTGGCCCTCATAAGTAAAATCTCCTCCCAAAGCGTTGGACTGCGAATCGTAGCGCCAGTGGCAAATTCCAGGGCCTGGGGCCGATCTCGCTGCCCCGTGAAGCTGGGTGCGGATTCGGGAAGGGCTGGGATCTCTCCGGCAGCAGGGCTCGAGCCGGACCGTGTTTGGGCGAGTCCGCGGGCCGTTTTCGTTCTGACTGTTTCTGCACCAGGGGCGGAGCGAAGGCAGAGCGAGGGGCAGCGAAAGCAGCACGACGACGCAACGCACTGCTTAGCTCGAGCCGTGTCCAGCAGCACTCTTGGCCGCAGGGTCGGCGACTCGGATCCCCTTTCCAGGCTTAAGTCGGGCCTGTCCCCCTACAGGGGGATTGTCGACGAAAAATTGAAGATACCAGAAACATGCACCAAAAAGGTCAAAGAATACTCCAACAATAGTGCCCAGACTATTTTTGGAGTATTTTTTGATTATTTTGGGGGCATTTTTTATTTTTCGTCGAAAATACCCCCTGTCGGGGGACACGCCCGACTTCATTCCAGGCCCAGAGAAAGGGGCCATCCCATGCAGGGCCGCAGGCCAGGACTCCTGAGTTGGACCGTGGATCACCGTCGCCTCGTCGTCCCAATCCCCTCTCCGAAACAGTGTCTCCTCCCAAAGCTCCGCGCATGGGAGCCCACAGATCGGCGGCCAGCGAGGGGGGGGAGTGAGAAGGAGAAGGCCTTCTCGGAAGGCAGCGGGACTTCTCGGAAGCCCTCGTGCCTTTGAGAGTTTTTCAATATCTTCGGGGAAGACTCAGGAGCTTCTCAGAAGGCCAGGGCATTTCCGAGCCTTATGATGATTCCCATCCCTTTTCACTTCTTCCCTGGTCTCACCGCCGACCTTCTCCGCAACAACGTTCCCTCCTAGAACTCTGCGTATGGGAGCCCATCGACATCAGTCTGGATCAATCCACGAGAGGTGGCCGGCGCTAACCTACAGTGACTTTTTGGCATAAGTTCCGTGGGTAGGAGTGTGCATCATAAGAACAGCACCCATCTTGTCCTGATTCGGTGCGGGCCCCACTTTCGAGTTCTTTCTGCAAGGCCGACCCGTCCGTGCAAAGGCGGCTTCGCAGCACTCCATCAGCGGGCCGAACCATCCACTTCCTGGCGGAGGAATGCTTGTGACGTGGCGTGAGCCTGACAGGAGGGGAGAGGAGGCATCGAGGAAGAACAGGCTCTCCTTCTTCGCAACGACTCAAGCCCCACAGCTCAGCATCGAGCCCAAGGCCAGATCGTCCTCCTTTTTACACATCGCACACATCAGTCGATGCTGCGGTGTGCCTCCCCCGCCAAGTACATATGGCACCTGCTGTCTACCACCTGCCGTTCTTGAAGCAACATGCTCTGAGTGACCAACCCACCAGCGACATGAGTGGTAAGAAGGCCAGCCTGTAAACATAGACCCCTGTCCCGAAGCTTCGATCAAACCTCGACCACGGCGTCAAGCTGAGACTCGCGCTGAGCAAACACTCCTTCTTGGCTCCTGGGTCCACGAATTTGCGCAGGGAAGTTCTTGCAGATCCTCACGGCGTCCGAAACCAGACACGATGGGGAGATACCAGGAACAGTACCGCAGAGGAGACCATCCGAGCTGCCGCAAAGTCATGAGAACAGCCCCCGTCGATCCCTGGACCGAGGCTCAAAAGAGAGCTCCTCGCCATGCGCGGCGAGGGAGTCAGACACACGACCTGCATCTGCTCTCGCGTCGCCCGACCTTGCCAAGATGCCTGTCCCCACGCCACGGGAGGCACCGCGTTCGACACTACAGTGGAGGCCCGTGCCAAGAAGCACCCTGCTTGCCTCAGCCTCCAGGGTGCCCTGGGTTTCCTGGCTTTCGGTGGCTCTGCGATGGAGAGCGCGACGTTCCTGCACCAAAAATCAATGGACGTCCTGGGGTCTCAGGGTTTGGCTTCTTGTGGTAAGTCTCCTGTGGACGTGCCTCCAGTGTAGACGCCGTGGTCGGCGTCGGGCGACGGCGGAGGCCAGAGCTGAACAGTGCCGCAGCGGTCTGGCAGGCCCGCAGACTCTGTGAGCGACAGCCCCTAGGAGCCTAGCGAGGGCCCCGTAGGATGCTGATGCTGATGATGATGATGATGCTGATGCTGATGATGCTGTTGATGATGCTGATGATGCTGATGTTGCTGATGATGCTGATGATGCTGCTGCTGCTGCTGCTGCTGATGATGATGATGATGATGAGGAGGAGGAGGAGGAGGAGGAGGAGGAGGAGGAGGAGAGTCCCGCAGGTTCCCGCTGGGAGAGCCCCGACCTTAGAGACCCCTGTGAGGAGACTTGAGGGACCTAGACTCGTCGGCTGTGCTCCGAACCTTACTCGCTCGGCCTGTCTGGACCCTAGCCTTTCTTCTTGTGCCCTGAGTGTAGTCCGTGCCTAGGTCCCTACCGTGGTGTGTCGACTTTAAGTTCCATTTTTTTCAGGCCGACGGCCATGGACTTGGCCAGCTCGGAGCTGGTGGCCGTCACTCTCCCCTTTTAACGTGGAATGACCAGCCTGCGCGCATCCCACGTGCGGCATAACGTGATGGTGGAACACCTCGCCTTTTTCCCAACCAGCCTCTGAGGGCCTACCCTGAAGGTGGTGATGTCATCCATCGCATTGGCGAGCCATGCGTATCTGAACATGCGGGCACAGTTATTCCAATTGTCTAGCATCAGCACTCGCATAAGGGCCGTCGCTAACCCACATGCTGCTCAAGATACCTGACTGGCCTCGAGGCTCGCCTACCCAGCATGAGCGTGCGGGGGGCGCGATCAACTCGAAGACACAGCCGAAGATGTCAGAGAGGGCAACGATGCCGATGAGCAGCACTGTTGAATATTCTCATAAGCCTGGTGAGATCCAAAAACGTATTCGCCGCCGAGAGCCCACGAACGACACCATGCTCACTCTCGAGGGACTGCTCCCGGACGGCCCTCTCGCACGACCTCCCTTCGGATCCGTATGCATGCTCTCGGGGGCACGTCTTCCCCAAAAGTCACTGCCCCCCTCGAACACCTGGCCCGCGGGTGTACCGCCCTGCTCGGCAGCCGCGGAGCTGCGTGCCCCCCTCGGCCTTGACATTTTTCTGCGTCACAGTCGTGATGCGGTTTGCTCTCTAGCGTCCGTCGCGGCACCAACTTTCGCATTCTTCTGCCCGCGCGCCCTGCCGGAGGCAAGGCCCACCAGGAGCAGTACAGTGTAATGCGTTGTCTCGCCCACGCGCCAACGGGCGTATGGCTTCTTGACTTGACTTGACTCGGCCTTGACACGGTACGGCGCGGGGGAGAGGCTCCACTGCGACGGCAGGGACCCCGTCGCGGACAGCCGGCTCCAGAGCAGGCCGAGGCCTTCTGGGCACACGCGGCGGCGAGCGAGGGGCTGGGCACATGCGGCGGCGATCGAGGCTGGGGAGTGAGAAGGAGAAGGCCTTCTCAGAAGGCTCGGAAGTCCGCCGGTCTTCTGGGAGGCGTTCGACGCCTTGCCCGAAGACGGGCAGGCAAAGACTTCCCAGCAGGCGCGAGGGCCTTCTGAGAAGCCCCGCCGCCTTCCGAGGAGGCCTTCTCCTTCTCGCTTCCCCCCCTCGCTTGCCGCGGGCACCTGCCCGCGGCCACCACGAAGCCCCCAAGGGCCCTGGACGGGCGGGCCACCCCTGGGCCGTCCGAGGCGCCGCGTCCCCCCTCGGCTCTGTCCCCCGCCTCTCCTGTGAGGTGTGCGCACGCGCACTGCGCGTACGGGGCCCCTTCTGTTCTGGGCATTCTACTTTTCGGACGCCAGCCGAGCTGCTGACCTTCCCCATTCGAGGGGCTCATCCTCTCGCCGAGGTGCCCCGTGCCCATAGGGCTTGGAACCGCCTTTCCTCGGCGGCGAGCGAGGGGGGGGAGTGAGAAGGGGCGGGCCTTCTCAGAAGGCTCGGAAGTCCCCTGGCCTTCTGAGAAGCTTTCTGAGCTTTCCCCGGAGAGAAAGAAGACCTCTCAGAAGGCTCGAGGGCCTCCGAGAAGTCCCGCCGCCTTTGAGAAGGCCTCCTCCTGAAGGCGCGAGGGCCTCTGAGAAGTCCCGCCGCCTTCAGAGAAGGCCTTCTCCTCCTCGCTTCCCCCCCTCGCTGGCCGCCGATCTCCTGCAGAACCAAACAAGGGCCTCATCTCATCCGTGTGACCTCTCGGGCTCGTGCGGAAACGTCAGGAGTTCGACCAAGGCTTCAGACCGCCCAGGACGCGCCGGAAAGCCGCGCGAGGAGTTCCACCAAGGCTTCAGTCGGGCCCCCTCCTCCTCCTCCTCCTCCTCCTCCTCCTCCTCCTCCTCCTCCTCCTCCTCCTCCTCCTCCTGGGCACCTCCCTTGGCCCCGGAGGGCCCGCAGAGCTCTCCCGTGCAGCCCTCGGGGTGCTTGTCGGCATCGGGGCACGGCCCCGGACCTTCCATGTCGTCCCGGTCCTGCAGGCTGTGCTCCAGATACTCATCGGGCTCTGGAGGGCCCTCCTCCTCCTCCTCCTCCTCCTCCTCCTCCTCCTCCTCCTCCTCCTCCTCGATGCTCTCCTCCTCCTCCTCCTCCTCCTCCTCCCCGATCCTCCTCCTCCTCCTCCTCCTCCTCCTCCTCCTCCTCCTCCTCCTCCTCAGAGGGACGCTTCCCTCCCTTGGGCGGATGGGCCTCCACCTCGCTGGGCGACGAGTGTACCTATCAGCTTCACCACCTCCGTTGGCGACAGCTTCCTTGCGGAGCTTGCGCCACGCGGCAGGCCTCCTGCTTGAAATCACACGTTCTACTAGTTCAGCCTGGGCACCCGCGAGCTGCGCCCAGTCAGCACGGCCTGCAGAGGCAATAAATGTCCGCTCGCCGGCTGGATGAAAGAAAAGGTGCCGAGCTCGGTCGTCTCACAGGGCCGGCGGCCCAGATGAGATCCTGGCGAGGAGACAAACGAAGATCAGGGGGCGTTTGCACGAGTCCTGAGCTTGAATATGGCCAAGCTCGCGTGGCCAATTGGCCACTCACCTCCAACCCAAAGCCTCCTGACTAGCTACGGGGTGCGGTCCCTTGGTCGCAAGCGTCCCCGCGATCCTCTTGATCTTCCAGTCTGCCCCCCTTCTTCGAAACCTGGTGTGCTTGCCCTCTGGGAACCGGTGAATTCCGACAAGCTCATCCTCCACGAGGCCCACGCGCTTCGAGGGCCGCCGACACTCCAGACCAGTTCGGCGGAGCAGTTGCAGGTCTACTCGGCACCTCCCGGTGGTGCTCGCGGGGGCATGCGGGCACAAGCACGGGCACGGGAACGGCTCGCACCGCCACGCGGAGGCCCTCGGGGCGACGAGGGGCCAGCAGCGCCCGCGCTGTCCCTGGACCGACGGCATCAAGGCACTGGAGATCACGGCAACATCCAGGAACCTTCCCTTCCCGGAGGGGCACGTGATGTCCCTTGGAGCCACGCTGCGTCCTGGATGCGACTCGGCCAATTCGCCCATCTTGGCCAGCTCGGCGGGGGCGCCGTGCCAATCCCCAGCCAGAGTATGCGGGTTTCAGAGAGAGTGCAGCAGCTCCAATCGACGCGCCAATGGTTGGCCCCTTCCTGACCGAAAGGGTTCTCCGTGGGAAGGTAGATTGAAGCCAGCACACAATTTTCCAGGACGACTGTTTTGGTTGACTTCAGGATGAGGCGGTCAGGAGTAAGGATATCCTGAGGAAGACGAGGACCGCCACCTCCCACCCGACGACCGACGATCGACGACCGACGATCAAACGACCGACGACGACGACGACGACGATGGACGACGACGACGAAGACGACGACGACGACGACGACCCACAACCCACGACCCACGACCCACGACCCACGACCCACGACCCACGACCCACGACCCACGATGACGACGATGACGACGATGACGACGATGACGACGATGACGACCGCCGACGGCGGACGACGACGACGGAGCGCCCGGCGCACCCCCCTTCCCAGGTCTTGGTGTGCGAGGAGGTCGGCGAGTACCGCGCCTGCGCGCAGCCCGCGCCCCGGGCCGCGGCGGCCCTGCGGCGGCCGGGGGGGCGCCCCGCCTCGCCTGGAGGGACGTCCCTCGAGGGCCCCCCGGGATTCCCGAAGAGGCCCAAATTTAAGTCGGGCGTGTCCCTCGCCAGGAGGAATAGTGAGACATGGTCACAAAATAGTTTTTTGGGGGCGACTTTTCGGCGATGTTTCAACTATGTTTGAGTACGTGTTTCGACCGTTCTTCATATTTCATCCAAAAACCGCCTGTAGGAGGACATGCCCGACAAAAGCCCAGATGAGCGACGCCAAATATCGGGCTCGATTGCGTTGACGTTCGCGCGTAGGCTGCCTGCGTGAAGTTGCGCGGTGAGCGCCCTTCGTTTCCCATGCAGCGTTCCGCGCCGGCGGCCCGCGAAAGCCACCGCGCAGGGTCGCCGTGCCATGTCGCTTCGTCGCTCAGACGGCTTTCGGAGCACCCAGCGCGAGGCCCAGACGGCTCCAGGACTCCCATAATGGTGCGAATAACTAGGGACCCCCCCCATCCTGTTGACGCTACAGAGCCAGGGGAACAACCAAATGACAGAACTCGACGGAGGAACATCCAACCAGACCCCGACAAGTGGCGTTTACGAAACGGCACTCGGCGTGTACAAAAACCGCCCTGCCCTGTTCGATTCCTTCCTTGGGTGTGCGTGCTGAACGACTTCGCTTGTTGGGGTGCGTATTCTGGGGGTGGATGTTCTGCCCACTAAGAGCGCACGGAAGGAATCCGCGAGTCCATGCCCGAAGGGCCTGGGATTTTGGGCGTCGCGCTGCAGTCCGGCGTCGCCGAGGCTGTGGGCGCACGCCAAGGGCGCCTCGCGGGAAGCAGCGCCAGCATAGGCGTCGCCAGGCATGTGGGGGAGGGCAGGACTACTTTTGGCAGCACCCGCCCGCTGCTTGCCGATGCAGTCGGGCCGAGGTATACCATCGAGGTCGGTTCGGGGAGGGTGCCCTGGTGCTTGTTGCATGCTCTTGTCCATCCTGGGGGAGGGCACCCTCGAGAGCTCTTCAGTTTGGGCCGGCGGAGGGTCTCATGTTCTGGAGGGATGTTTTTCTGCCCTAGGCCCGGCTCTAGGGGACGGAGAGTCCCACCCCGCTCGGGAGCGTGCGGAGTTGATGCCCGGGGGCCTATCGATCGCCGACGTGTCGCCGGTTCGAGGTCGAGGTCTCCCTCCCCGAGCCAGTCCCCCTCCTTGCGTTGCCCCTCCCTCCATGGCCAGCCCGATTCCATCCAGCCCTTGCACCCCGACGATGCTGTGCGGCCCGATGCTCGGGCGGCGCTGCTGTGCATCCTGGCGCGGCTGCTCCGATTCGATTTCGACTCCGTACCTCATGATTCAACTCTCGGGATGGTATATTCAGCATCGGCGCCGGTATATCCGTAGTCGAAAACAGGCCTACTCCGGCACACTCCCGTTAAATTCTGGTGAATCCAGTTTAATCCAGCTTCATCCATTTACTTCCAGACTTCATCTGGGCTGATCTGGCTCAATGGCGCCTGAATCGGGCCCAGTAGTTTTTTTTTTTTTTTTTTGTTCTAACCAAGGCCTTCCAGGAGTTGCCTCCTGACCTGTTGATTCGGTCCGATCCGACGCAGGTTCTGAAAACGATCCGATTTCCCGATCCCGGACATGCGACGCCCTGATTTCTCCAACACGGGGTCCCTGGCAGTCCCGACCGTTTCCCCGGGACCAGTTACTCATCCCGAGCCGTCTTCTGCCGGTCCCGAGGGCCGGCGACGGCCTCAGCGGCGCCGTAACGTGTACTCACTAACGGGTACTTTTGAAAATTGCCGAAAGTTGCCACTTTAGGGCCTCTTTGTGGCATTGCAGCGTTGCCCACATCGGGGAGGGTTAGGTTCGCAGGGTCACTGGCCAAAGTACCCGTTAGTGGAGTCCCCGTTAGAGGGGCGCTTACGGCCCCCCGAAGCCGAAAGTGGCCGAAAACCTCTCGTCCTGATTTTTGTCACGACGCGATCGGTGTCGACGGATCCCGCGCCAGCGGCCCACAGAGCTGGACCGTGCCCCACGAGCGTCCCTGGCCGAAAGGTGTCCCCAGGATCTCCCGGGGAGGCCCAGGTGGCCTCGGGGAGCTGCCCTGCCAGGAGGAGGAGGAGGAGGAGGAGGAGGAGGGGGAGGAGGAGGAGGAGGAGGAGGAGGAGGAGGAGGAGGATGATGAGGAGGAGGAGGAGTAAGATGTTCCAACATACCTTAGCCTTGACCACCAGAAAGACTTTCGAGCACCCAGAAAGCATCGAATCTGCGGAGTTTTCACGTGTCGGGCCCTGGGCGACGATACTTGTTCAACACTTCGTCAGCGTGTCGGGCAGAGACTGGTTCGATACTTTTCTGGGTGCTCGGAGTTATTTGTGGAATGTGGTCCTTAAGTAGGAACAACGCAAGCTCAGAGGAGAAACATGTACAGATACCGCTGCCCACCCCCTGGCGCCACGGCTGGATTTGCCTTGAAATCCTTGTCAGAATGCACCCCAGGAGTCGAAGAAGAAAGTATGCTTTTTGGCGCTCCGCGTGGATTTCTTGAATCTGCGCTGGACCCCCCTCCCTGGCTCGCCGAGCGCGCCAGGGGCGGCGCCGGAGGCGCCGCCGGGGGGGGCCCAGCGCGGATCCAAGAAGTCCGCGCGGAGCGCCAAGAGTGTATGTTCATGTTGCGAGAGGGCGGCGGAGCTTCTCAGAGGCGCTCTGGCCCTGACAAGTGTTCTGTGTCTTTGGGGAAGGCTTGGGAGTCCGAGTCTTCTGAGAAGGCCCGCCCCTTCTCACTTCTCCCCGGGTTCGCCGCCAACAGTCGGAAACGTAAGTGTTGGGAGTTTCAAGCATTCTGTGACCAGACGCCGCGCGGCAAGAAGAGGATGTGGATAAGGCACGGGGGCCCAAGACCTCCACGAGGATGGCATTGCCATCGTCTTACGCCGATGCATGAGCGACGTCGGCGACGCATCGGCGACGCTGGCGTGGAGAACATCTTTCTCCACATCGAGCTGCATCGCCGATGCACTGGCGATGCAGCTCGATGTTGGCGCGATGTTCCGCCCCCATCTGCCCAGACCTCGTCCAGGAGGCCTCTGATGAAGGAAGAAGAAGAAGACGAAGTTCGTAGGGAAGAGGCACGGAGGTTTCAGGATCTCCAGTCCGGAGGCCTCGGTTCCCATACGGGAGCTCTCTCGATGTCCAGTCGCGGGGTCGAGTTCACGGACGCCGGAACGAGGTGCGCTCTCCTTTGTAGCCCCCCCGCCCCTCGTTTCTCCGTGCCCCCTCCTGGAGCTGGGAAGCTCGCCCGAGGCTGTATACACACGTCCACCGCCTGGGGACCTGGTGTCTTGGGGCACCAGGAGGCACGGGGGTATATGGATGTCCTTGGGCCCCGGCCCCAGTGGCGGATACCTGTAGGTTTCGGCGGCGGGGGGGGGTGGGAAGTGAGAAGGGGGCGGGCCTGCTCAGAAGGCTCCGAGGTCCCCTGGCCTTCTGAGAAGTGTTCTCAGCCGTCCCCGAAAATACATGTATCAATTTGAAGAAGGCGCGAGGGCTTCTGAGGAGTCCCGCCGCCTCCTGAGAAGGCCTCCTCCTTGTCGCTCCCCCCCTCGCTCGCCGCCGAAGGTTGCAGCCACCGACGTCATGATCTCTTCCACGACGCGAGAGGGGCTTGGGGTTTGGACCACCGGCGTTGCCGCAGCTCACCACTCACCAAACCACCCCAACCCAACCCGAAGGTCTAAATTTGCCCTCCATTTCTAGTGGGGGGGGGTCGGGGAACATTGCAAAAGCACATGGAACCCGTCCCCCCCACAACCAGAAATTCGGGTCAAATTCGGGTCTTCGGGTTGGGTTGGGGTGGTCTGGTAGGTAGTCAGCAGCAGCTGCGGCTGACCTGTTTCCCCTTCGGCTCGGCAGGAATGCATGGGTCAGGGGCAACGACAGAGGGGGACAGGCATAGGTGGGCGTGCATCGACCTCCCATCGCCCACTCATCGCCGATAGACGCCCGACAGCCCCAACCTGCCCAGGAACCTGCGGATTCACTATCGGGGGCCTGTCGCCGATCTATCGGCGATGCATCGCCGATTCCGGGTCGATGTTTCCCCCCTATGCCAGTCATCCCACATCGTTGCCCCGCAATGGGAGCCTCGTATGTCCTAGGAACTCCGTCTTTACTGTGCATTAGCGTGCGCGAGCGTCTGTCATTGGATGAGGGAGCGCCGACTCAGCGTCGACTGGCGCCGACTTAGCTCGGATCAGCGTCGATTCGCCCCAATTTGGCGTCGGTTAGCGTCGGTTCGCGTCGACTCACAGCAGCCAGCAAGAGGACGCGGGACCCTCTCAAGAGATTCGGGGCGTCCAAGAGGGGGGTGATGATTGGGGCTGTGTTGATATCATGGCCGGGGCCATGGTAATGATCTCCTTGGATGTCGTGGCCCGCTCTGCTCATTCTTCATGCTTCGCGTATTCCCACCAGTCAATTATCTTCGTTTCGCGCCCCGTCCGTTGCCCCGCTTCTTGACCTTCGCCAGGGAGCCGCCGACCAAAAAGTATTCCCACCAGTCCGGCCCGTTCAGAAGCCTTGCCCACGTGAGCCGACGGGAAAAGGGACGGAGAGACGCATACAGTGAAACAAACAAAGCGGGCAATCAGGACGAATATAGAGATCTCGGGGAGCAAGGGGGGTGGCCTCAGATCAGGGGGCCTCCTCGGGCCATGCTTGGGGCCCGTGGGGGGGCGAGGGAAGTTGGAGGAAGAGGAGGAAGCATACCGCCTCTTGGGGCCCTTGTGGGACGCTTTTGGGGCCCTCTTGGGGCTCTCTTGGGGCTCTCTTGGGACCCTCTTGAGGGCCCTTTCCTTGTAGGGCGTCGACCAAAGGAGGGGGGTTCTCGATGTGCCTCCTCCCTCTAAGCCCTCAAACTCGCCTTTTGGGGCCCTCTTGGGCCCCGCATGGGGCGCTCTTCGGCGCTCTTGGGGCCGTCTGTGGGGGGCCTCTTGGGCTCCTCTTGGGGCTCTCTGGGCCATCCTGGGGCAATCTCGAGGCCTCAGAGCCGCATCGGATGTTGGCCTCTTGGGGGCTTCCTGAGGGCGCTCCGAGAGCACTTGGAACCGATGAGCCGTCTTCCAAGTTGCCCTTGCATCCTCCTTCTTCGGCCCATCCTTGGCTGCTCTCGCTGGCCCCGCCCCGCTAGCACAGTGTCGACATGGCCTCCCGAGGACCTTTCCTCCTTACAGTGGGGGCGTGTGCCGAGAAACCAGTTGGATTTTGCCAGGGTGCCCCGAGTTTCTTGGATTCCGATGGGCCCCCAAGCCGATCTCGACGGTATTCGATCGACAGATTTGGATGTTCACTGAACGGATCGCGGATTTCAGGGTTGGGTTTCTTGCGGAGGGTTCTTGTGGCCGAGCCCCCACTGTATATCGCCCGTGCCTGCTCTACACGGGCTGACTGCACATCCTCCTCCTCCGACGAGCCGACGCACGCCCCGGCTCGGTGCGATCTCCCGGCGCGACCCAGGCGGTGCCCCGGGCCGCGCCTTGAGCGCGCCAAGAGGGGGGGCCTCCCGGCCCACGGGCCCGGGCCCCCGCGCGCGCCTCGCCGAGCGGCGCTCGCCGAGGGCGCTCGTGAGCACGGAGGACCTCGTGCTGGAGGTCGGCAGCCACGTGGGCGGCACCACGAAGGCTTCCCTCCCCCCCCCCCGCGGGCGCAGGGCGGGGCGCCACGTGGGCGGCACCACGAAGGCTTCCCTCCCCCCCCCCCCCCCCCCCCGCGGGCGCAGGGCGGGGCGCCTCCCCGGAGGCCTGGCGCCTCGAGCAGACACATCGAGGCGCGTCGCTTGCTCTGCACCGCTTTCGGCCTCCTCGGGGCCCTCGGGAGCGTCAACAACGCGAGCCTCTGGAGGGCAGGGAAGGGGGCGTGGCGTGAAGGGGTATTGTGCCAGCGTTGAGTCTGGCGATGCCATCTATTGCACACTGCCTCTCGATTGCCACGATTGGCGCCACATCGGGGCGAGAAGCCAGCCCCGAGGAAGTCGGCCCGAGGTCTCTGGCCTGTGCCTGGAGGAGAGCGAGGCGCCCGCGATGTCTGGGTCCCTCGCCTCGGGGCTCACGCAATTAACGGGGGCCAGCGCTCACGGGGGCCAGCCAGCCCCCTCTGGCTTTCACACCGGGTTTGGGAAAATCGCATGGGGTCGATTCCCCTCCACATCCAAGGTCTACATGTTTAGCTTGCGCTCATGCCGACCCAAGAGGCTGACGCCATCCCGCCGACCCCCGGAAGAGGCAGGGAGTCCGGCTGAGGCGCCGTGGGCTTCTTGGGCACCATTTGGGGACTCCCGTGGGCGTCTCCGGTGTCTTCCGCCCCCCGATGGCCCGCGTCGGGGAGATGCGGAGGGGCCCGCCGGGCTGCGCGACCGGGCCCGTAGGCCGACCCGGGGCCTGGGCGGGCCCGGCGCGGCGCGCGCGTCCCCTCGCCCCGGTGGGGGGGGGGCGGCCAGGAAGGGGACGCCGTGCGCACGACCACGACGGCGACGGCGGCTAGAGTCGGGTGTTGCTAGAAGTATCCCTGGCCCAAGGTGCCCCCAGGATCCTCGGGGTGTCCCAGACGGCCTCAAGGGCACCCCTCGCGAGGGCCAGAGGGCCCCAGGGGCTCCAAAATGGAGCGAAAAGCTGGGGGCACCTTGGGCCAGGGGCACTTCTAGCAACACCCGATAGAGGAAGTGGTCTGCGCGGAGTTCTTGGGTCAGCGCTGGGCACTCCCCTGGCGTTGCCTCGGGCGTCAAGTCGGGCATGTCCCTCTACAGGAGGAGTGCGCAGAGGTTGTCAAACATAGTCAGGGGACGGTTTTTTCTATTGCTTTGATTCTGTTTTGAGCATGCTCTGACGATTTTTAGTTGTGCCTCCAAGCTGCGCCTGTAGCAGGATGTGCCCCACCTGGTTCTGGCGCCGTCCCCGGCCGGCGCTCCGTGCGCCCCGGCAGGGGGGCCAGCACTGGCCGCAGATATCCGCGCGGACCTCCCGAAGCGTGTCATCGAAGACGCCCGCGGCGAATCGCCGCCGCCCTTGGAAGCGCCCGTGTGGGCGACAGTTGGGCTAGAGCTTGGTCGGGCTATCCGGACCGTGTGTTCCCCCAGCCCCCAGCCGTCGTCGAGAGCCTTCGGGGAGCACGCGAGGAGGAGGAGAATGAGGAGATGAAGGAAAAGGGAGGAGGAGGAGGAGGAGGAGGAGGAGGAGGAGGAGGAGGAGGAGGGGAGGAGGAGGAGGAGGAGGAGGCGCAGGACCAGGCGTAAGGAGGAGGAGGCGGGAGGAGGAGGGCGGCGGAGGCGGAGGCGGAGGCGGAGGAGGCGGAGGGAGGAGGGAAGGAGGCGAAGGGGAGGCGAGGCGGAGGCGGAGGAGGGAGGAGGGAGGAGGAGGAGGAGGAGGAGGAGGAGGAGGAGGAGGAGGAGGAGGAGGAGGAGGAGGAGGAGGAGGGGAAAAAGGAGGAGGAGGAGGAGGAGGAGGAGGAGGAGGAGGAGGAGGAGGAGGAGGAGGAGGAGGAGGAGCCGATCTCTTGGGAGCTTCCTGGGGCACTCTTGGGGTCTCCTGGGAGCTTCCTCAAAGCCTCTTGGAGGCCTCTTGGGGTCTCCTTCGGTCTCTTGGGGGCCTCTCTGGCCGTCTTAGGGCGTTCCTGGCCGTCTTACGCCGTCGGAAGACGTCTTGAGGGCCTCTGGACCGTCTTGGGGCCCTCTTGAGGGGTGCTTCAGGGCCGTCTTGGAGGCCGTCTTGGCCGTCATGGAGGCCCCTTGATCTTTCTTGGGCCCCCTTCTGGGCCGTCTTCGGGCCCTCTCGGGCCGTCCTGGGACAGTCTTGGAGGCCTCTTGGAGGCTCTGGGGACGATCTGGGGGGCCTTTTTGGCTGTCTTGGGCCGTCGGACCGCCGAAAATGAGCAAATGCCCAAGTCCTCCAAAAACCTAAGGACAAACCTAAGGACATGATTTTGGCTTCCTCGGGTCCTCCTGGAGTACCTTTGGAGGCCTCTTGGGCCGTCTTGGAGGCCTCGTCGGGGCCTCTTGGGCCGTCTTGGGCCGTTTTGGAGGCTTATTGGGCAGACTTGGAGGCATCCTGGACCCCCCAGGGCCGTCTGGAGGCCATCTTGGGCGAACTTGGAGGCCATCTTGGTCGTCTTGGAGACAATATTGGGCCATCTTGGCCGGTGTGGAGGCGATTTGGGCAACCGCCCCTACATTTTCGGCAGCCTTCCGGGTGGCTGGCGGGATCGGCTGAAGCCCCACGGGGAGTTCTTTTGGAAAAGAACCAGAACCAAGCCGTATAGGGTCTAGCACGCCAGGCACCCCTTTGGCAAGGTTGCAGTGGGCGGTGGATGGAAGACACCTACGGCGAATCACCGCCGCCGCCTGCCTTTAAAAATTGCCCATGTGGCCGAGCGTTGTGGCAAGAGCTCTGCCAAGCTATCGGACCATGTGTTCGGGGAACACTTGGGGCAGGATGGCGGGGAAGATCTGGAGGAGGCGGGGGAGGAGGTGGAGGCGGAGGAGGAGGAGGTGGAGGAGGAGGAGGAGGATTTTTGTTGATGTGGACCGCTGCCAGTCAAGCTTCCGAAGAGATTACCAGGCAGGTGAAAATGGTTAATTACAAGTCGATAAACGTATCGACCGTGCTCCCCCACTCAAGACACCTCTTCTTGCGGGGGTCTGCCTCGCCTGAGCCTCCCCAGCGCCTCACGATTATATGCCCTGATGGCCGCCAGGCCATTCGAGGCGATTTGGCGCTCCGTGCGCAAGTCGCGAGGCTTAGGCTCCGCCCAGCATCCGCACAGCCCACAACACGTGAGCCGGCCTTCGCTCCAGGCAGCGTGGCCGTCGTGCGCCCCGCGCCCGTGGACGCAGGCAGGGGCAGGCCACCGTCGATGGGGGGGTCGGTCACGTCCAGCCTACACCAGAGGTCATCATCGATTGCTGCTTTGCCGACCAGTGAGCCCCCCGCTCGCCGCCCTCTAGCCGTAAGTCGGGCCCGTCGCTCTACAGAAGGAACATTCAAAAACAGTCCAAACATAGTCTGGGGAGGATTTTTTGACGACTTTTGCATATTGTAGGATATGCTTTGACTATTTCCATTTTTTCGCGGGAAATCCCCCTGTAGGGGGTCAGGCCCTACCTAAGTCTAGCCCGCCTCGGCCGCTCCGGCGTGGGAGGCGCAGTTTGCACAAGGGCCGCGCACTGCGAGGGAGCCGTTCGGAGGGGCAGGCGAGCGGCGGGCTGCAGCAATACTTGTTGCACGCTGTGCACCTCCACATCCCCTTGGCCACAGGCTCGAAGATATGGCCAGAAGCTTCAAGAACAGGGCTGGACCTCAGCGGTGCTTCTGGTGATTTCGTGGGCCGTCTTCGTTCCGACCTCGTTCTGCGGCAAAGGCGGGCTGGAGACAAGGGCGAGGGACGACGAAAACAGAACGAAAACGAAACACACCGTTTAGGTTCAGCCCTGTTCAAGAAGTGCAATCACAACCTTCCGCCTGCGGACCACTCGCGAGAGCCGGGCACGATGCACTATGCGCTCTGGATTATTGGGGCCCTTGGTTTGTTCCAAGATGATGGAAGCATTAAGTCGCAACATGCGGCAGACCAAATTTTCAAAATCGACAACTTCACAGGCCACATCGGCCGGGATCTGGGCGCTCGCCGACCGCGCCGTGGCCAGAGCATCCGCGATCGCATTGATGAAAAGATGATGCGGTACCAAAGAAGCTGCCAGACGAGCAAGCTTCGCATCATCTAAATCAAACATGCCAGACCGCAAATCGAGCAGCTGCCAGAGCTCCCACCACGGTTCAGCATTCTGCAGCCGAGGGGTGTGATGGCGTCCCTTCTGAAAGGCTTTCAGGTGATTGTTGTGGTTAGTGACCACCGTCACGTACGGGTCACGTGTCACGCGACGCACCACCTCCACAATGGCAACCAACTCAGCGCGCGGCACTGCCGGACGTGGACTGTCCAGCACTCCGTGTGCCTCATAATACTAGTCAAGATCAGCAACACTGCACAGGCGCGCGAAGCCAGAAGCGACCCGGCGCAAGATTGGGGTCGGTGGCATGGGGTCCTCCAGAGCCATCGGCGCCGCAAATTCCTCCTGGAAGATGGCCATCCTAGCATCGGAAAAACTCCCACGCCCGATCCTCTGGAGCTCCGGGAAAATGCAACCAATCCTTGGGAATGAGACCACGACGCCAAAAGATAGGGTGTTGACCAATGCCGTCAAGGGCCTGCTGGCAAAGTTCAATGCTCTTGGAAATGTGCTCGCAAGAGGAGGTGGCGTGAGTCAACAGATGACTGACACTGCTGGCACAGAGGATCAGGAGCTATCTTGAAAAAGAGTGCTTGCGCTCCTCTGGCCAACAACCACCGCATGCGACACGCCGAATCATGCGGGGCAGCGCCAAATCACCGTCCTTTCGCTACGCGCCGAATGAGTCTCGCCACGTGCGTCCATTCGACGCCGTTCTCCGGAAGCTTCCTGGGGCCTCTTGGGGCCCCCTAGGGGCTTCTCTGGGCCGAGGGCTTGAAATGTCTGTTCGGGTCCCTCGTCCAGACCCCCTCTTGGAGCCGTCTTGGAGGCCTCTCGGGCCGTCTTGGAGGCCTTTTGGGCCGTCTTGGGGCCCTCTCGGGCCAGTTCGGAGCCCTCTTGGATGCCTCTTGGGCCTTCTTGGGGTGATCTTGGGTGCCTCTTAAGCCGTCTTGGAGCGTCAGGAAGCCGAAAAGGCGAGAACACACAACTCCTTTATTGCGAAGGCCTTACGGCCGGTGCCGCCGACCCTGAATGGCGACGACGACGACGACGACGACGACGACGACGACGACGACGACGACGACGACGACGACGACGACGACGACGACGACGACGACGACGACGACGACGACGAGCGCTCTTGGGGGCCTCTTGGGGGTAGTTTGTGGGCCTCTTGGGAAGGTCTTAGGGGCCGCTTGGAAGCCTCGTGGGGGCCTCTTGGGGCTTCCTGGGGGTCTCTTGGAGGGGGCCTGGGACGTCTTGGAGGCTTCTTGGACGGTCTTGGGGCTGTCTTGGGCGTTTGCGGCAGATCTTTGGGCGACTCGGGGCCCTCTTGGGCCGTCTCGGGGGCCATCTTGGGCATTCGGACCTCATTTGGAGTGTTTTCGAGGTTTCTAGGCCGCCCGAGGAAAAACGAATCTGCCCCCCCACCCCCCCGGGACCCCCCCGGGACCCCCCCCGGGACCCCCCCCGGGACCCCCCCCCCCTGGGGAAGGGATCAAAGGGAAGGGGTTTCCCTTCGACTCGATTACGACACTGCTAGATTTTTCTCTCGCTCACGAGCTTGAGAAGGAAGCTGCAGGGAGAGGGGACGACGGAGGCGACGACCGACGGAGACGACGACTCGAACAGCCAAGCCCCTCTCACACGCCGACAGGGTCGGCGGATTTACTTACGGAGAACCCATAGTTTTTGCCACCTGCGGCTCTCTTGGGAGGCCTATTGGAGGCCTCTTCGGCCGTCTTGAGGCCGTCCCAGGCGTCATTGAGCGATCCCTCGGCGGCTCGTGGTCCTCTTTGCAAGTCTGCGGAGTTCTGTTTTATCTGAACAGCACAGACCCTACTCCAGTCCTGGAGCATGCCGCACGACTTAGCCGCTAGGCTAAGGAGGGCGTTTTTCTTCGAGCCCAGCAAGGGTGCGATACTAGGTATGGCAACGTCATGATCACTCCACCAACCTGCTGCTATATGCGATCAGGCTTGTCAGAGACACAACTACTTGCACGATGGGAGCATCTTATAAGCTGAGCGCGGTCGCGGCAAACCCGCGTGCGAGGGAAACATCTTCGGAATTGAGCACATTCGCAGCAAGCAAGCTCAAACCTCAATGTCTGATGACTCACTCCCCTCGTTTGACTCGGCACACGCTGCCGATATCGAACCGTCCTTTGCCATCGTTTCTGCATTCGACTCCAGGGGTGTCATCCCTGCCTGCTTGCGCCTCAGGGCGCTCCCGATCGTCTCGTCGAAGACCAGCCTTTTTTTGAAATTTGCAGACTGGAACAGGCGCAGCTGGTGGGGCTCCTGCCCCTCAGTGAGGGAGTTGGCGAGCTGCGCATCCCATTTAACCCAGAGGAGCTTGTCCCTCCCATCCCCTGTGTCGTCCTTCAGTGTCATCGCCTAGATGTCTGTGTGCGTTTCCTTGCCCCTCGAGCTTTCAGACCCTTCGGGCTGCAGCCCACCGTCTGCAGATTGCCGACCGAACCTTTTTTGGAGTCGGTGAAGAGAGCTCCTGGGACTCGGCATCGCTCGGACGCGTGCATTTTTCCTTCGGCGAGGACCATCCAGGAGCATCCTTGATCATTTGGCGAAAAAAACACGCACGAAACTGACAAAACAACACAGGGAGTGGACGTCCGAGCGATGGCGAGGCGAGACCCTCCAGGATGCCGTTTTCGAGTCCCTCCCGTCCGCCTCGCCGCCGAGCACTTCGAGCCACCGCAGCTCGATGCCGAACACGTCGTCCTCGCCGTACCCATCGGTCGTTGAAAGTAGGTATTTTTGGATTCCCAGATTCCAATCTACTTTCAGCGCCTTCCTACTTCAAGAGTCGAGTGGTTTTCCCTCTTCCTCCCTCTTCAGGAGGCGTGCGGAAACCCAACCTATTTCCAACGCCTTCCTACGTCATGTTTCTACCTACTTTTTCCGACCGATGGGTACGGGTCTCCTCGGTCTCCGCCGCTCCGCTCGAGAAGTGCACGCCCTGCCTGTGTTGCTGCTCTTCCAGGACACCATGGTCACGTCAGCCTCGCTGCCGCCCAGGATCGCGCGGGGGGCGGTCCCGCCGATGAGCCCCTTTGCGCTCTTGCCGCCAAGTCGACTGGGCTCGGGGCGAGCACGGCCCCGTAGTAGGGTTGCCCCATCCCCGTTTCGTGGCCGACTACAGTCAAGAGTCCACCGTGTGCGCTGTCTCGCGTCTCGTCCATCGCCTCCTCCATCGTAGCGCTGGCTTTCTCCTTTGGCAGGAAGTCTTGTTTTCACGACGTGTGGAATGAGAGGTTTTAAGGGTCTATCTATACATCGGGTTATATCGGGCCCGCCCCCGCTCCTCCCCCCCCGGGTAACCTGACCTTTTGACAGTCGCACAGGTCCGAACGGGGGGAGGGTGGCAGTACTGGCAGCACTGGCTCGCGCGGGCATGCGTGCGGCTGCCCCGAGCGAAACGATGAGGTTGAGGACTGGAACCTCCCTCCCCCCTCCCCCCTCCAGAGAACCCGTGGCGTGGCCGAACAATGAAGGAACGATCCCTGTGCTTGTGTTGAATTCCTGCTCTCCTGCTTCCTCGGCGCCCGCCAGGTGCTGAGACAAGCCTGCGGAGCCGCCAACCTGGTCCGTCGCGCGCCGCGCCAGGGGAGGCGCTCCTCCCTCCCTCCCTCCCTCCCTCCTCCTTCCGTCCCTCCTCCTCCTTCCCTCCTCCCTGCCCCCTCCCCTCCCTCCCTCCCTCCTCTCTCCTCCTCTCTCCCTCCTTCCTGCCTCCCTCCTTCTTCCCTCCCTCCCTGCCCACTCCTCCCTCCCTCCCTCCTCCTCCCGACCTCCTCCTCCCCTCCCTCCTCCAGCGGCCCCTTCCTGAGGATGGGGCGTGCGGCGGTCTGACCAGACAGCATAGGCGTCCGCCTCCATTCTGTGCCCGACCACCCCCCCCCCCTCCCCCCATCTCACCCCCCACTTGCGGGGTCCAATTCGCTCCGATTCGATCCGATCGCGATTTCGGCCGACTCGGCCTGGTTCGATTCCGACTTTAGCCGACGATCGCGCGCGGTCAGATGCTGGCATATGCGCTGCTGTGCGTCCTGGCGCGGCCGGTCCGATTCGATTTCAACTCGGAGCCGATGCGGCTCGATCCGACGCCCGCTCCGATCAGACCCGTTTTCTCGACTCGATGCGGTCTGATCCTGGTCGTCGCTCATGCTCGTTCCCGGGGGCCCAGACGTAACAGTTTTTGGTGCTTCGCACTGGGCGTCGTCGCCCTGTCTCGGGCTCTGGGGCCCGCAGGGGCGGGCCCGGCTCGGGAGGTGCGGCATGAAGATTTGGTCGAGGACCCTCGTTCTCTAGATTGTTGGCTGCATTTGGCCACTCGCAGCCGTTCGTCGGGCCTCGGAAGGAATTGTGCCAGTTGCCCATGCCCAGACCTCTCTGAAGCGTCAGCCAGGAGTAGCAATGAGCAGGATAGGACAGGAGACTGTTATTTTGAGGGGGGAACAACCCCCATCCCAAGTTGCTCACCCAGTGGGTTTGAGGGTAACCATAAGCAGGTTCAAGAAACCAGCGGCGCTTGGACATCAGGAGGACGAGGACCATGTCTGGGCGGCCTGTCTGAAGCGTCGGCCAGGATGAGGAACGGGAGGAGTAGAAGGACGAGGAGGAGGAGGAGGAGGAGGAAGAGGAGGAGGAGGAGGTGGTGGAGGAGGACGAGGAGGAGAAGCTGGAGGAGGAGGAGCAAGAGTCAGGAGTCAGGATGGGGATGAGGAAGAGGAGGAGGAGGAGGAGGAAGAGCAGGGGGAGGAGGAGGTGGAGGAGGTGGAGGAGGAGGAGCAGGAGTAGGAGGAAAAAGAAAAATAATAATAACAAAAGTAAGAAGACCGGGCGTCAGGATGACGACCCCTGGCGTCCTGCAGGAGTCTGTGAGGCTGGCTTTTCTCAGTCTGGGCATCCATGGTATGGACCCTTTCCCCCAGACCAGATGTTCATCCCGAGTCGTTATATCGTGGGCCGGGGGCCGGGTCAGGGCCCCCAGACCCCGAGCCAAAACTCAGCGCGATTCGTTGTGTTTTTTTTTGTGAGGGCGAGAGGAGGTCACGGTCCTCCCTCCGTCCCTCCTCCCCCCTCTTCCTCTCCTTCCTCCCCCTTCCTCCCTCCTCTTCCCTCCTTCCTCTTCCCTCCTCCTCCTCCGCCTCCTCCTCCATCTCTCTCGTAAGACAGCAGACGCGGTTTTCCTCGGATGAGCTTGACCCAAATCGGCTGCGGAACGGACGCACTGAGAGAAGCAAATCGAGAGACGCGCGAGATGGGGACAAGTGCTTGATCTCTTACACGCACACACACACACACACCCTGAAAGAATTTCCGCACAGTGTGGATGACCTGTAGACCTGCAATATGATTAGAAATACGCGGGCAGTGCTTGATACACATGATGCCCCTACTAATCTCGCTGGAATTACTTCTTCTCGTGCAGCGCAGTGACGTCCTCGATGCGCTTGCTTACGGCGTTGAGGACCTTAACAAGTTTGCTAAGGCGTTTGAAGTACGGGGGATCAGAAACGACGTCGTTCAGGACATCGTCCTCCGAACGCCTTTCCTCAGATCGCAACGTCGACCTCGCCAGAGATTTCCCCGTAGGCGAAGAGGAATACGAGCGACGGCGCCGGCGCCGGCTGGACCAGGAGCGGGCTCGCTCTCGAAGCTCCTTTGGCTCGTCTGCTTTCTTCTTTTCCCGCTTACCCCCAGCACGGGGCGTTGGCGGCGGTGGCGGTGGCAGCGCCTCCTTCCACGCGAGTCCGCTGGCATCTCTGGCCGTGGGCGGCTGTATGACGAGGTGTATTGAAACGGCGCGGCTTCTGCTAGGGCCACGGCCGGATTTCGACCCAGTTTGTGTTCTCGGACGTCAAGTGCTGCACCATGCGGAATGACAGCGTTTTCTCCAGGTGTTCAGGTCTTGCTTTCATTTTAGGCCCTTCTGCATTGCTGTAAATGCACGAATGTCTGTGCAGGAAGGGCGCCGCATGAAAGCTAAAACGACATCCTGTGATGAACCCTTCATGTCGATAGCCAGGCAAAGATCAGTGAATCTCTGAGACGACATGTTATGGAAACGTATCGATATATTTCCGAGTATTGCGGTACTTGGTGTTACTCATGTAGAAAATGTTCACCACACAAGCATTTTTTTCTGTTAGTTCATTCAAACGTGCATGGTCGAGAACTTGGTTCCGAAGTCTGCGCAGTTGTTTGCGCGTGGCGCCTTTCCTTAGCGGAGTACGGGGTGCATGTACTAACTGCTGCGCGTGCGTAGATTGGATGGCAACATGCCTGAGTTCTCCAGGCCCCAGGCGCGAGGCCATTGCAGTCCCGGCAATTGAATCGGATGTTGGGCGCACTCGCGCGGACACCGCGACACCGAGTTTTGCGAGGATCGACTGCGCCAGCAAGCCTTCGGCCGCGCCAGAAGCGATGGTGCACAGCTCGGGTTCTCTGGAGCTTTGTGCAGTCATCGAGTGGTTCGGCGAAAATTCGTGAGTTGGCAAGGACTCCCAAACACATAACCGCCAGATGTGGATTTCCGGGCTGTTTTGTCCCTTGCCCAGTCGCTGTCCACGTACATAACAATGTCGTCTTTTTCAAAGTTCCGCCGTTTTGTAAGTGAAGGCATTCACGTTTATTTCCCTGCATACAGCATGGTGTGCTTCAGTTTCCTCATGTCCTCTTTCTCGCGAGTTCTTCGTCGTGAATTAGATGTCGGGCCTCTCTGCGGGGATGTATTGCACCTTGCCCACCACGCACCGATACTTTTGGTGATATTGTCTGGGCAACTCTTCGAATTCTTTCTTGGGGTCTTGTGCCCAGGAGTCGAAACGGCCGAACACCCTTTCACTCCAATTACATCTAACGCTTCATCGATAATTACTGGCGCTGGTCTCACAGCAATGCCATTTGCCTCCAACTAGTAGCACTTACTTCGATAATTTACGGCCGACCGTGCATCGGAGCGCTCTCCCTTCACGAAAAGGAATGCGCTCGTCTCGCTCCAAAACAACTGGGGATCACTACGACGCCGCTTATAACCCAGTCCTTTCACGCGGACCTCGGCCAGGGAATCCTGGAAGTTCCGCGGTGCTTTCCGGGGCCCGTTCGTTGCCTTCAGCATTTTCTAAATTCAACCCGGGTATCGGGATTTCCGCGGCTCCCGGGATCTACAAAACACGTCCTGGTTTCCATATCCGCGTGCATGAAAGCTACGTTAAAATCGCCAGCTCTGCAGTGCATGCTCATCGTTATTGCCGGAGTGATTCGCGAACCAGTTGGGGTCGGGGTTTCCGCGAGCCGTCGCCCCGTACCTCTGCCCACTTTTAAAGCTTTTTGCCATTAGGCGTGACCAGACCTCGGTCTCACTCCGTTTCTTGTGCGCCCATCCTGCGTTAATGGGTCGCGATGCGGCTTCCTCTTCCTTGCGCCACTGGTGCGCGCCAAAATGGTCCAGGTGGCCCACTGCACGCTTCGTGCCTGCCTCCACTAATGGTTCGGGCAGGCCGTTCATTCGATCAGCCTTCGAATCGCAACTTTTCAATCATTCCCCATGTGCTTCGTCGAAGTCGCACGCGTGCGGCTCTGGCTCTTAACGCAGCTGTTGAGAAGCCGTCAGCCTCAGAATCGGGCTGACTGCTGCCGTCGCAGTAGATCTTCGGTCTTCTGGATGCTCCTCCAGCCGCGCGCACGCACGCCAAATTCGACAAGCATGCTGTGGTGCGCGTGCCCTTTTACACGCTCGAACGACGTCTTGCCATCTGCGTGCGCAGCCATCCGCAATATCGCATCAACCATGATGCGAGGATACTTGTGCATGTGAGTATCATGGTGTGCCGAGACTTGAGCGCGATGTTGTGTGTGTGTGTGTGCGCGAAAGTGCCTCTACATTCTGGTGGAAAAGCTCTACAGACCAATGGGCTGTCTTGTGCCCTGCTGGTGCGCGCCGTAATTGCGCGTTACGTTTACGTCCATTTGCTGCCATGCGCGCAACATCTTTGTTTCAGCTCTCGTCGTCAGTCTGTGCAGCGCGCGCGGTTGTCAAAGCCTGCGCGCTCCAAATGCTTCACTATACAGTTGATCGCGCGCGTGTCTGGCGACCCTTTTTTTCACTTGCGTGCGCGCACCATGACCAAGCGCAACATTCGTTCTGGATTTGCGCGTCATGACACTGGCATCCTCAGCGGTCTTCCGCGTACGGCGATTCTTTTGACCGGCCTCTGAGGCAGAATTCGCGCCTATCGTGATATTGCACGCGCGCAAGATTGCGCGCGTCTCTTCCCTGCTTCGAGGTTCACAGTGGGATCTTCGGGGCTACGGGGGCATGGGCTTCATCGGCTTCTAGTGGCAATCGCGTGGATGGCGCGGTTTCCCACTCGTCGAAATTGCTGCGTGTCTGGTCTTTCCTCGTGAATGTTGTGAGGAGAGCGCCGTGGGCGCCCGTGCTTTCCTCGGGATCTTGGAGGGCTGCCCGGTCGATTCGATTCGCAGGAAGTTGCCAGGGCGATGTGTTCTATTCAGCCTACACAATACGGATGGAACATCTTCTAGCGGCCGTTTCCTGAGTTCATAGTCTGGGGACGCAGTGCGGATGGACCCCCTTGGTTTTGCAAGAACCGCGTGTCGTTTCCGTCCGGCGGCGTTTCTCGCGGAAGCGACGCTGGCACATGCGCCGGGGGGCCACCCTAAAAGGCTTTTGGAACGCCGTGGACGAGATTGCATTTGTCATGCTCTCGGGGACTCGCCCTGGATCAACGTCATTATCCAGCTTCGGCGCGATGCGGGAAATTTTGCTCTTCCATAAGAAATGCGCCCGAAAAGTTTGGGGGGGCGTTGACATCTGGGCATCTCCAAACGTGGAGAACACGTTCGTTTGCTTCGCGAGGCGGTTCGCATAAATCAACGTGGTCGGAGAATTTCGAAACGTTTCGAATCGAATCACGAGTTGTAACGTGTTCCTATTTGGTCGGGTCATCTGCAATGCGACATCCTTAGACCAAAGCTCATGCATTCCATGCCCAATCGCTGTGATTCCGTTGGCCCCCGACGCAGGAATGATTTTTGCTGGGGTGGGGGGGGGTGGGGGCGGAAGGAAGGTCCGCAGACGTGGCCAAACGTGCCGTCATCCAACAACACCATGAACTCTTCGTCGTGTTTCGATGTCTCGTAGAATGTGAAACCCCAGTTTCTTCAGATCAGAATCACTGGGCGGCTCAAAGGATGAGATAAAGCAATGGCGATCGTTGGGGCACACCTCTGGAGGCACATGCGGCGAGAACGGCATGCTTGCAGCGACAAGCACCAAGGGGAACTCTGAGAAAACTTACTTTCGACGAAGTTTTGACCGACGAGTTCTTCAGATATGCGTACAGTCTATGTTTCTTGTGCGGTGTGGACAAGCGCGCGGACTCTGAGGCGCATTCGCCATGCACGTGTGCGCGCGCTTATGCGAAGGATCGTATTCCGTACTGCTGGTTCCCCCCTGATCCTCTTCCTCCGCGCCGTCATCCCCGTCAGATGACAACCCAATGCATTGAGTCCCCCATGGCGTATTCCTCGGAAGAGCAGTTCCAGTCTGCGCCCCAACATCCTTGTGCGCATGGATGTGGGCTCTACCAAACTCAAATTCAAGACAGCTCACCTGACTGCTCTCCCTCACCTCCTTCACACTCTGGAGACACAGCGGCAAATTCTTCAGGCTGGTATTGCGGTCCACTGTCTCGGGGCGGGCTCCCCAATGCCCCCTAGTCATTCGAAGGGGACTGGGGCGCGACCTCAGCTGATCTGTTGCCTTGCTTGTTTGCCTTGCCTTTTCCGTTAAGCCTACGCTCTGAAGTCCAATGGTTCCCCATTCGACAATTGTCACACCATTTGGATTGCGAGCCTTTCCCGCCAGCAGTTTTATTTGACGGTTTGCTGGATCCTTGCCAGCTTCATTTTTCCACTGTTTTTCCTGTTTTTCCTCGTCCGCAGAAGCCGTTTCCTACATTGGTCTTTCTTCTTGCCTAGCATCCGTTCCCTTCTCCTATCTTTCTTCTTTTCCTTTTGGACGTGAGTGGATCGGCTTCCATTGGCTTGGTCTTGGGCCCGCTTCCTGATTTGACAAAAATGGTGTTCCCAGTCTCGCTTTGCGCGGACATACGCTAAAATCGTTCGCTTGAGCTCCTCAGAAGTATCATACAACTCCGCGTTCAACTCGAAGCGCAGTTCTTTGCACGGGTTCTGGCGTCCCTGGGATAATTGCTGTAACTTCCACGTCATCGGAGCAATCCTTTGGATTTGCAATATCATCGTACTGCTGCGCGCGACATTCGAACTCTGCCAGCTTCGCCAGTAAACTGTCCAGATGATCGGTGGAGAAATCGTAACTCAAGTTTCCTGTCATGAGTCCCATACGTGTGTGGTGATCTTCGGGGTCATATCGGGCGCACGTTTTCCGCCACAGTTCGAAGCCGCTTCGTTTTCAAGCTTGCGATGCACCTTGGCTATCTCTCCCTTGTCAAGACCTACCAACATGTACGCAAGATTGGCCGCATGCTGTTTCACATTGGCGTCCATCCCTGAAAATTGTATATCACTCCTGGTTATTGTGAAGTCTATGCTTCCCAACTTTAACAGCTCGCGGCACCTTCGTAGTTTCAAACTGAAACGACCGATTTGACCAATGAGCATCTCGGCCCGAACACGCTTTGACGTTCTCCTCGAGAAGTGTCGTATCGATGATCTCTTGTGTCATTTCTTTCTTCGGGGCTGTTCTGCAAACTGTTCCCCGGGTTCCCCGTGGATCTGAAACTTACGGTTTCCTCAACCACAGCTCCGTTCCTTCAAGACAGCAGACGCGTCTTTCCCTGGATGAGTTTGGCCCAAGGCGGCTGCGGAACGGACGCGCAGAGAGAAGCAAGACGAGCGATGCGAGAGATGGGGACAAATGCCTGATCTTTCGCATCTGCTCCTCCTCCTCCTCCTCCTCCTCCTCCTCCTCCTCTTCCTCCTCCTCCTCCTCAGCCTCCTCCTCCTCCTCCCCCTCCCCCTCCCTCCTCCCCCTCCCTCTCCCTCCTCCCCTCCCTCCTCTCCCCTCCCCGTCCTTCCTCAATTATACAGTATGAATACTACTCTCCTTTCTCCCCTGGTGGCGTCCTGGAAATGCTCGGCCCCCCTCCGCGTACTGTTTTTTTACACAGCCCAGGAGCTGGGTTTTCGCTTGGGTGTTTGTTTCAAGATGCTGCTCTCGCTGAATCGCTGGCCTCATTTTCGGGCTACCGCTCGTTCCGAATCGTGCTCCCGCTGCAGCGATGGCCTCATTTCCATGCTTCCGCTCGTTCCGAATCGTGTTCCCGCTGCAGCGCAGGCGTCATTATTTCCAGCGCCATGCCCCGGCATGGTTTTGGGTCCTTCCAAATCGGCCCCAAAATCTATAAAATGGCCTCCCGAATAAACCATCGAAAGAGATTACACATTCGGTGACGATTCGTTGATCTCTTGGGCTGCAGAAGGCCACCCCCCACTTGGGCGTCGCCACGCCATGCTATGTTAGGCTAAGCGTCCTCGTTTCCGCGCTTCCTGATTAAACATTCGGTGTCGTTTCGTTTATTTTTTGGGCCGCAGAAGCCCCCCCCTCAACTTGGGGCGTGGCCACGCCATGCTGTCATGCTGCCATGCTGCGCGTTGATCTTCGACACCATGCTGTCCCATGGAATGCTTTGCCATGCTTCGACGTCCGAGTGTGCGGGTAGAGAGGAGATCCACGCCATGGTAAGGGATGGGAGGGAGGGGTAGGACGTCAGATATGATGCGAGCGCATCCGTCCTCCCCCTCGCATCCGTCCTCTTCCCTTCGCGCCTCCCCCCCTTGAACCCGCCCGCCCAGCACCCGCGCCCCGGAGGTCGGCCTGGACCAGCAGGCGGACTTGGTAGCGCAGGCGAGCTGGAGCCCCTTGGCGCTGCCGCGTGCGCTGGGCGGGGGGGTGGCCAGAGGGTCCCTGTCCCCCTCTCGTGTTTGGTGTCTGGGGTTCTCCTCTCCCTCCTTCTCTCACTTGTGTGTGTGTGTGTGTGTCGCATCGCTGCGGGGTCGCTGTGTCCAGTCACTGAGGTATTGGAGAGGAAGGAGGGCGCGATGCTGATGATGATGCTGGTGATGCTGGTGATGATGATGATGATGATGATGATGATGATGATGATGATGATGATGATGATGATGATGATGATAATGATAATGATGATGATGATGATGATGATGATGATGATGGTGGTGGTCGTGGTGGTGATGATGATGCTGCTGATGACGATGGTGATGACGGTGGTGGTGATTGTGATGATGATGTTTATGGTGGTGCTTATGACGATGAGGAGGATCACGATGCTGACGGTGATGATGATGATGATGCTGACGACGGTGATGATGATGATAATGATGATGATGCTGATGCTGATGCGGATGCGGACGCGGGTGTGGATGCGGATGCTGCTGTTGCTGATGTTGATGACGATGATGATGATGATGATGTTGGTGATGATGATGTTGATGATGATACTGATGGTAGTGATGATGATAATGCTGCTGATGATCATGATGATGCTGATGCCGATGCTGATGCTGCTGCTGGTTATGACGATGATGATGCTGATGACGGTGACGGTGATGGTTATGATGATTCTGATATTATGATGATGTTGATGTTGATGATGCTGAGGCTGATGATGATCATGCTGATGATGATTGTGATGAAGATGATGATGCTGATGGTGATGATGATGGTTGCAATGACGATGGCAATGATGGTATTGATCATGCTGATGACGACGATGCTCATAATGATGGTGATGAGGAGGATGAGGTTGAGGATCAGGATCAGGATGATGATGAGGATGAGTATGCGGACGAGGATGGTGATGAGGATGATGATGCCGATGATGATGCCGATGACGATGGTGGTCGTGATGATTATGATGATGCTGACGCTGATGCCGATGCTGCTGATGATGATGGTGATGATGAAGCTGCTGATGATGGTGGTGCTGCTGATGATGCGAATGCTGATGCTGATGCTGATGCTGATGGCGATCATGACGACGACGATGACGCCGTTGATTATGATGATGTTACTGCTGACGATGATGATGCTGATGATGATGATGATGATGGTTATGATGATGCTGATGAGGATGATGCTGATTAGGATGCTGCTGCTGATGGTGATGATGCTGATTAG